TTATATTTTATATTTTATATATTATATTTTATATTTTATATTTTATATTTTATATATTATATTTTGTATTTTATATTTTATATTTTATATTTTATAATTTATATTTTATATTTTATAATTTATATATCATATTTTATATTTTATTTTTTTATATTTTATGTTTTATATTTTATATTTTATATTTTATAATTTATATTTCATATTTTATATTTTATATTTTGAACTTCATTTTATATTTTAAATTTTACATATTAGATCAAATATTTTATTTGCCCTTCTATGCTACATATAATTGCATATAGTAGTCTTTGGCAAGCTGCTTGGCAGCATCCGTGGACACTTGCTCTATCGCAGCTTGATTCACTTATCTGACACGCTCAGCTGCCATTTATTTCGATAAGTTATTTATTCACACCAGTAGATGCTTGTTATTCCACAATATTTTTTTCTATTTTGCATTTGCATTTCCATCCAAGGATACATTTCATGCACTCGCCGTCTGCAGATGCTTGAAATGTGCCACTGCCAGTGCCACTGAAACCACCACACCCAACAGCAACAGCAACAACAACAACAACGTGCCAAGATAGCAGATATTTGTCTTCGGCTTTGGGCCCAGCCAAGATACAAGTAAGAGTTGCTGTTAGTTGTGCCATCTTATGCAATTCATCGCATACATTTTCCATCACTTGGCATGCAAAATGCACGACGCCATCGACCGAGTGCCCCTGCCAGCCCCTGCCTCTGGCTCAGCCTGCTATCTGCTCTCCTACTCGCCTCGCTGGCTCTTTGTCTCTCTGTCTGTCTCACGTTGCACTGGCATGCAATTGCAATTGAGTTGCAGTTGCATCTTTCGGGCCTATAAATAACCACGTCAAGCAGTTAACACCATTAACCGCATATTAATTGGCCGAAATGGGCACCGCGAAATAATGCCAGCAGGATTAGGCGCCACGACAAAGTCCGATCCGAAGTCGCGACATTTGGCTGACATTTGTATAAATTCCGTAGAAGGCGTCGCATTGCCACATGTGTAAAGCCTTAAATGGCACTTGGCGTCTGCATGTCGCATAGAAACGCACACACACACACACACACACACACATCTATATACTTTTAATATATGAACATATTTATCCTCCATCCATTGCCATGCAAATGTCACTCAGAGCTGTGGGCGGGCGGGGGACTCTCGCTGTTGCGTGGGTGCGGAACGGCGGCAATTGCGGCGATAATTGAACATTTGAGGCACGCGAAAATTGCCAGACCCTCCTCGGCCCCTCCGCTATCGAGTGCCCTCACTCCACAGCGAGGGCTCTTAGTGCACTAATAAATATCAATTGTATGTGCCACAAAAACGACATCAAGAACTTCAACAACAACAAAGTTGTGTGTTGCCTTGTCTTTGCATTTCCCGTACCAATCTCCCTCAACACACAGACACACACATACGCATATGCAAAATGCATAAATAAAGTGCAATTATCATAAATAATTTCCAGCTTTTAGCTGCAATCTAGAGAGCAACAGTCAGCAGCTTGCAGCATGCAACATGCAACATGCAGATTCAACAGCTGCAAAGCAGCTAAGTCAACAGCGCGAATTTCTGTGATTATTAGAAAACCAAATTTGGCAAATCCAATGTGGACAGGCGTCCATATGCGATGCTCTTGGTAAACAAGTGAAATTTGGGTTTACGCCAGCGAAAAAACGGATTGGGTAAACAAATTTAATTTGTTAGGCATTAAAGAGATTTGGTAATAGAGCAGAGTTAGCTTGCAAGAGTAAACTATTCTAATTGATAATGTTATTACTATTATCATTATCTCTTATACATTTATATGATCTTGATTATGCTGTTGCATCTTTACTCTCTAACGACTTTAAGTTAACTTTTAGTTAAACCAACTGCAGCTCAAGTAAGTTCTACTGGACTTTGGATTTCTAGAGCACATTTAATCATATGCATACATACATACTTCAAGTCCCTTTGGCGCATTTTAACTTCTTACGCAATTGAATGTAAGCAAATTCCCTAGAATTCATGTGGATGACATCATGTTGCAGCTGTTTTCAAGCGAACCAAATCCATGTTTCGCATACAGTTTTTGCAGACAAAGAAGCGACGAAGCGACCAATAGCCGAAAAGCAAACGAGCCCACGAAATGCACACAACAAGCTTGAAGTGGCTCAAAGAAACAGAGGGGGGGAGATAGTGAGTGAGAGAGGGCGAGAGCGAGAGAGAGAAAGAGACAGCAAAGCCCGCACATGGTTGGTGTTTGTTTACACTTCTTATGATATTTGCAGACATTTATGTTTATATATGTACGTATATTAATATTTTATTTTATTAAAATTATTATTTTTTATTTTTTTTTATTTTTTTTTTTTATGATAATGTAAAGATATAAATTCATATTTCAGTAATGCTTATGCTCAATAATAATTATTTTAAAAAATTTAAAGAAAGCAAAGTCAAAAAAAATTAAATAAAAAATGAAAACGAATCAATGAAGAATTTAAAATAAATATATAGAAGGTGCGCAATAAAATATTTTTTAAATTAAAAATACCTTAAAAAACAACTTATATAATCAAGAGGTAAATATGGAACCTACATATATACAACATTATTTCCATAAATGTATGTATGTATGTATACAATAAGTCAAGAGGCACAAGAGTTAGGGGAACAGCTTACATGTGTTATACATACTTATATATTGTTTATACAAATGTACATATGTAAATATGATTAAAGCCGTCTCATTGTACGAGAATAAGGCATATTTTTATTTAAATGTGCATATATTTATGTATATAAAATACAAATGAAAACAGCTGCAGCTGTCGAATAAGGTGATGCACTTCATTCTGTCTCCACTTGACATCAGCCGACTCTAGCTACTCAAAGAAATATTTTACATATAGTACAAAATCTTTCGCAAAGCCATTTTAAAGCCAATCAAAAGTATTTAACTTCTGCCAAACATTTCAATAGAAGATTCATCAAGAAATCAAAATATTTGTGTTTCAATTGACATTTGTGCCCTCAATAAAGCATTCCAATTGGAAAGCTGAGTTCGCTGAGTTTGTCAAAAAATTGCTTAATTTATGTACATATGTATATACATATGTATATATATACAAGACTGGTTCTAGAATGTGTGAGCTACTGCGCTTAATTGCGCTCAATGTGGCGCTTATCGGCCCAGCCGAGCATTCGAAGTGGGTCAAAGTTGCTGTGGGGTTCAAATCCCTACCGCAACCCATAAATTTGTGAAGCTGCGAAGCACATGTGTCTGCCCCATCAATAAATATGGGCTCTAGCTGAATTCGAAAACGGCCTCATCATCATCGCAGCTCGCCATTAAATGCCAGACGCAGCTCCAGTGTGAATTTGCAGCAGCCTTCTGTGGCATTAATTATGTGCCTTGTGGCACTTTTCAACGCCATCATGAATACTGGGCGGCATCGTAAACAAAAAACCGAAAGAGAGGGCAAGAAAAAAAAAACGAGATCGGAACGACAATTGTTTTCATTCGACTGTTAGATAAAAGCGACAAATTTATGTTCCCGACTTGGCTTCACACGATGTGTTTTATGTTGTGCGTGTTATTATTATGTACAACAAATGAATATTAGAGAGAGAGAGAGAGAGTGAGAGGGGGAGAGAGAGGCCCCTCAATATGCCATGAGATTTATGGGTCTCTCTAGGGGGGGTTAATAATAACAAAAATGAAAGTAAGGCAAGGTAAAAAGTAAAAAGTGTAAACGTACTTTGAGCGTGTCGGTAATAAGAATTTGAGCTACAACTGAGACTGAACTCGTCTGCAAAATACAAAAAAATAATCAAAAAGAAAACAATAAGAAACAATAAGAAACAAGAATTGTGACTGAAACATATGGCTAATTAAAAACAAATGCATGAATGTATTTTAAGATAATGCAAGCCGCAGCTGACAATTGAATTTACATTGAATTTTATTCATGATTATTCATGCCAGCAGCACTTTGAGCTTGGGACATTCACAGTGAAATTGTGAGTGAAGATTCCAGACTCCATGGAAGACCTTGAGCTGGCGCCTTGCCAACTAGATTGAGATTGAGATTGACATTGAGATTGAGTCATCCCGTCCTAATTAACCGAATGACAACAAAGACCTTCAGGATTGCTGCGCCCACACCTCATATGAGAGATCGTCCTCGGCTGAGACAAGGCTGGAATGTGCACACAATGAGATAACTCAGCAGCAGAAGCAGAAGCAGCAGCAGCTGCTGCTTTAACAATGACTAAGAACTGTGAGAGATAAAGAATCACACACACACACACATATGCAACCACTGAGATATGCAGATGATGATGAAGATGTGCGACAATGTAAACCCAGTTGAGATGCGCACACAAGTGAGAATGAGCACATGACAGTATGTATAAAAGACGCTGGGCACTGGAGTTGCTCGTGTCCCAGCTGAAGCTCTGAAACATATGACAAACATAAGGCACCACACTGGAGAGAGTGAGAGGGAGACTCTCAGTGAGACTGCTACTCTGTCTCTCTGTCTGGGTTTCTCAATCTCAGTCGGCACTGCTGCTGACAGGGCAACAGGCAAATACAGCGACAACTTTAGCAAATACACTGCAAGCGAGTCCTGTGCGACGAGGGGAGCTTCGGTGCTCCCCTTTGTGCCAGAGATTCAATAAAATGCAAAGAAAATAATAATAATAATAATAAACGACCTTCGCTGGTCGGCAGCCGTGGAGCGATTCGTCTCCGGGCGTGTGGTGCGTGGGATATGAAAAGTGTGGTCGTACCCAGTTACAGGAAGGGTGTCCACAAAGCGAAGACATGAAATGTGAGCTACCTGTTTATATACTCAGCATTACTTGAATCAAAATATACACGGGAATATATATATATATACATGTATATATCTGTATTATCTGACTTATCGCGTCTGCCATGCAGCAAAGAATGTCGCGTAAGCCACATGTAAATTGCATTATCATGCCGTTTGTAAACTGAAGTCAACTTGTCGATAAGAAACAATTCTCGACAAGATCTAAGTGTATTATTTAAGCCAAAGCGCTCTTCGGTATTAGCCATCAACAACAACCATAATAAGCCAAGTCGATCTGCATTTCAAGACAAGTTCACTTAGCGTTTCCCATACGAAATAATTTTGCTGGTGTAAGCAGCTTGTTTTTTTTCATTTTTTATACAATATTAACTTGCAATCAACGTAAATAAATATTGTATTTTTTTTTTCGTTGTTAAGCTGTCTCGATTTTATTTTTAAAATGACAAAAACAAAACGAGAAACTGAATTAATTTCAGCGCATGCAGCAAAAATTTGGACTTAACGCCGTTGCAATACATTTTCCCAACCACACAACAACAATAACAACAACAACAACAACATCATCATAAATATAGGTGAGTAAATTGTGTCTAGATTCTAGATAAAAGATCGAATGCGCGCACAGCTTTAACGAAATTCACCGCGCATGAAATGCAAATAAAAAACAGGAAAACTCTTCTCTGCCTATTATTATTTTGTTTTTCCTTTGTCGTCTTGTAAAAAAAAAAAAAGGGGCGCACAATTTAAAACGTGACTGTTACAAAGAATTTCATTTCTTTTATCACACAAATTTCTGCCATGCTGCCGACGCGTCGCCGACGTTGACAAAAATTATTGTTATAAATGCGACCTTGTTACTCTTGTTACTTTCGTTTGTCGCACAACAGTGTTTTATTTAATTTAATTTATTTTATTTCATTTTTTTTATTTATTTTTATTTTTAGCATTTTTGGGACTGCTTTCGGGTTTTGTATTTCACTTCTTGGGAAGCAACGCTCCACGCTGCATGCTTTGAGAACACGACACTGAGCACACAAATCACTTTGTTTTTATTGCTTTGCTTTGGTTACTTATTGCGTGGGCTCCCTGCTGCACTTTTTCTTTAATTTTTTTATTTTTATATTTTTACAATTTGCATGTATCTCGCGCTTTGCAAAATGTATCTTTCGTTTGGCAAATGCCGGCTGATCGCGTTCTGCGCGCGCCGCTTCTACAAAAAACGCAACCAACTTACGCGCCGACGTTTCGTTAACTGACCCAACAACAACGCCGGCCGCATGCGTTAAGTGAACGGCCGTCAGCGTCGCTGACAGCGCCAACGTAAACGTCGACGTCGACGTCGCTGTTGTTGCTGTTGCTGTCACTGCAGCCACTTTGCGCTCAAACTTCACTAGCGTAACGAAACTTGTTCTCCCCGATTCACACACTCACACTCTCATCATACTCGCTCTCGCAGGCACTCAGCCCAGCAACAGCAGCAACAACAACAACACGCTCTCACTCTCTCACGCTCTCACAAGAACTTGTTGCTCACTATTTGAGTTTCGCTTGTGTGTGTGTCTGTGTGTGTGTATGTAAATAAATATACATGTGTTTGCATAGATTTGTGTATTGTTTCTTTTTCGGCTGGTCCACTTTGTTTTGTTGTTTCTCTCTCACTCTCTCGCTCCCTCTCGGCTTCTGGGCTCATTAAGTGGCGTGTTGAGTGCTTATCTGCCGGCCAATTGAGTGGGGCTCTTGAGTGTTGTTGCACTCGTAACATTTCAATGAGTTTTGCGATTCGCCTGGTTTATTGCCACAAATTTCTTGTTTTTTGTTTTTGTTTTTCTTTTTGTTTTTGCTTTGCTTTTGTTGTTGTATTGATACATTTATAAATGCATTTGAATGGCTCGTTTGACGCTCCGCTTTATGTTTCCCGCATTTCGTTTGCTTTATTCGATTTTTATGGCATTTTACACGCGCGCCTTTTTCAGCTCTCAATATTTTTGGAGCTTATGATTCACGGACGGGTTGTGCATCATAATGGAGCACTGAAGGATTTATTGGATACATTTATGTGTATAAACAAGCTGGCATGACCTTGAAGCTGCGTTGCTTGGGGCTTAAAGTGAATCGAGTAGAATGAGTGTATATGTATGTATGTATAGAGTATAGTATATAGTCTATGTCTTTCCAATTTCTTTAAATGACATATCATTAATTGAAACCTTCTCATGTCTCTTCATGGAGAGGCTTTGTCAACTCGCAGCATGCGATTCTCATTTGAAAACTCATTTGATATTTGATTATTTTCAAGTCCGAATATTGTACTAGGGTCTTTTCTGTTTGCCATCGAAGCAAGTTTATGACAGGAACATATGTATATTCGGAATTTTCATGATTTCATGAACTGACAACAGAGACCACACTCGAGCGAGTCTGTTCACCTGATGACCGGCATATATCAAAGGCACATGCAGCCTTATCACCAGTCAATAATATATCTATATATGTATATCTATAAATATTGCAGATAAAGACGAATATGCCAATGTCTTTTGCCGGGCAACAACTGAATCTCGGCGAGCTCTGAATGAATTTGATATTAAATGGCAAATAAGCGAGTATGTGGAAAGCATTTGCAGCTTGTTGCTTGCCACACAGCCGTCGGTTATGGCAGAGTGTGAAAAATGCTCGCAACGAGTTATGATCAGCTCGAGAAGAATTTTTTCTTGAATTTCAGCTGTGGATTTGTCCACACTTGTGCCGCCAGCAAAGGACGTGGCAAAAAAATTTATTAACTGCAGACGCGACAGCGCGGACGAATCGGCTCTGGACGGACTCAAGTGGAAACTCCATGCAAGACAAGTCTGCTGCTCTTCTCTTTCTATTTCTTGTATTTCCCATTCATTTTTTCTATTTTCAAGTGTCGCTGGAAAATCTATTTCGAGCGCATAATTTTTCACACTGCCACCTCTCGGGGCAGTCGTTTTCCCATTCTCTCTCTCTCTCTCTCTCTCTCTCTCTCAGTCTCTCTGTTTCTCTATGTGCATATTTCTCATCACAAAAGTCGATTTGTCGTCTGGCAGAAATATCTTTTGGCCTTTTTCTGCTGCTGCTGTTGTTGTTGTTGTTGTTGTTTTTGTGGCTGTCGGATTTCCTGCATTTGCAAATTGAATTGAAATCTCTGAGCTGCTCAGGCAGTGCATGCAGTGTGCCCTTACATTCCAATTAAGTTGCATTTATTTCGGAGTTTTCCTCTTCATTATTGACTTTAGTCTTAACTCATGAATAATGCAGCTGTTGTAATTTGGTTACGGCTAAAAATGCAAAGCACTTGTCATAATATTTATATTACGAGAAAACATAACAATTTAATGTTTGTTTTCGATAAATTCGTGAATACTATTTAAAATTATCGCGGCTTTAATAATTGTTGGCTAATACTCAACCGTTTCATATATACATATATATGTATATCTATAAATTTAGTCATATCTAAAGTTAGTTTCTTTAGCTTTACTTTAGTCATTTAAATTTATTTTATTTTTAGGTTTTTCTTTCAGCTATTTGATAAATTCTAGTCTAATCTAAAAAATATCTATAAATTTTCTTTCACATATTTTCATTTAAATGAGCAAAAATAGATATATTTATTATTATTATTTCTTTATTCCTTGTTTTCTATATATTGATATGTATTTTTATTAATCATCTAATAGCTCGCATATGTGCATTCAATATTTCATGTTTAAATGACGCAAAAAGCTCCATCAACTGTAGGCCCAAACCACAAAGCGGTTGAAGGGTTAAAACTGCAAACAAAATGGCGTCAGCAGGCGACAAAAACAATGCAAAAAAAAAAAAAACTGCAGAAAAACGGCAAATGAATTGGTTTGCGTGCAGGCAGCTGCACTCACATCCTGCGTATATATACATATATATATGTGTGTGTTTGTGTACATGTTTGTGCTTGTGGGCGATTGGCT